AACTTCAGCTTCAGGCTAGGGTGGCAGTAATTACAAGAGTCTAGAAATAAATCCTGTCTGGTTTAGTAAAGACAAGGTTAGTATATACTAAAGTGAAACACTTATGTTATCTCTGGGGTAGTCTACAGCTAAGAGGGTGAGTCTACATAGGAAAGGAATGTATGTGGTCTTGTGAGTAGCTAAAGGTTACTGTGTCCTTGGGACCCTCTATATGCTGCTAGCGACTGTGGCTTGGGAAATGGCAATCTTCCCTTGTCCTGAGAGTAAGGGTTGCTTATGGTTTTTGGGGTAACAGCACCTCGTGGATGAGTCCCTGAGCTACTGAGATCCTTCGCCCATTAGTAATCCCCAGCAGGAGAAGTGAATGTAGCATTCTTTATTGACGTTTTCCAGGAGGGTGGGATGAGTCTAATGGGAGTAACTCCTGTTCGCAGCCGCCGCCCAACACAGCTGCCGCCTTAGTGGATTTGCATTTTTTTAGGATTATTGTAAAAGTTATAGTAAGGCTGGGGGTGCCTTTATGGGGTACCGGGGTATGGCGATAAGGGCCATGGCAGAGAAACTGAGTGCAGGCCAGTACAGTAATACCACAGAGGTGAGGTCCAAGAACTCGTAAAACTGTTGACCTTGCAAACAGTTCTCCTCAGCCAAGTCCTTGCTCTAGGCACGAGGGGCAGTTCTTTCATACTCAGCTTGTGTTAACTGCATGGTCCTAGCAGTGGTAGAATTGGACTTTTATCTTTTGACACAGCTGTTATTGTAATCTTTTCCCTTGTCTAGATTGTCCAATCATTAAAGAGCTGTGATCGTCCCAAACTTTGAAAAGTCAGGCACAACTCTGTAAGCCGTACAGTTTCTCTTTGTCTGACTAGAGGAAGGGGGGAATACTGCTATCTTCTGGTAGAGCAGGTTTATGCAGCTGCAAGAACAATGGAGTCTATGCTGAGTTTATCAATGGAAGAACCTGTTAAGAAGAACACCCTGAAGAAATATAAGATAATTTGTATCGTAAGTTCAATGTTTTACAGCCTTTCTAGCTTTGTGACAAGTGATGAAAATGTATGACTCCCCCCCTTTATATTTGTTTGTGTTGCTATTTAAATGTAGCATTTTAAGTAATGGCATTTAGTTTCAGCTCTTATGGCAACTTAAATGGAAGTTAATATGTTAAAGATAGTTTCAAAGTAAGAAATTAAAGTAACAAGTTAATATTTGATTGATCTGAACAGTTGGAATCTGTAACAGAACCCTTTGCAGAACTAAGTTTTTGTACCCGATTATAATTATCTCCCAAGTCACTTTTTTATAGCATAAATATTTTATGATCAGAAAGAGAGAAATGAAAATTACGGTATCTTGTATTCTTTGATGAACTATTGCTTTTACTTTTTAAAAATTTTACTCCTGGAGAAAATCTATTTTTGTCTGTTTTCTCTTTCTTGTTTTTTTATGTCTCCAAAAAAGAAAAAAAAAGTTTCCTTTGGTATTATTACTCTCTCTTTCTCCTTTCTCCACTAGATTTTTGGGGAAAAGGAGGCTACATTCGTTACCTCGGATTTCTCACTACCCAGCCATTTCTTGGACTGTGGCTTTGTTTTTACTGTACTGAAGTCATTCCTTATAAGCCATTCCTTCTCTGACTTTGGTGCCCACAACGACAGTGCACAGATATTGTTTAGGACTTATCATTTTGAGTTATTCTTTCCCGATGACATTTAGATTCTGTTGTATGGCTTTTCTCCTTATCTGCATTCTTGGCTGGCTTGTCTTTCTCCTTATTGCATTTTACTTTAGATAATCTCATTTATCCTGTGCTTTTTATAGTCATATGGCCTGCCAAGAATTCTGAGTAAATCTTCAGCTCTGACCTATTGATAAACTCCTGTCACACAGTTTCAAGCACCTGGCAGGTGGCTCCTCACTCAGAACTTCAAGCCAAAACCGACTGCATTACTTTTCACACACAACTTGCTGCAGCTTTCTCCCAGATTCCCAGGGTCACCATCATTTTCTGCCGGGGTCCAGCCTCAGCAGGGGTGGGTTGACTCATCGGAGGCGGTGCCGGTGAACAGAAACAAAATGAGACTAAGACCTCAATGCTTTTTAGCATGTTCTTAGCCGGCCACAGCCAGAGTTAGCTCCAGGCTGCTGCGCTAGTGGCTGTCAAACACACGTATTTATTGAGCGGTGTCTTACAGGAGTAGAACGGGTGAGGGGGAAATAAAAGATTTACTCTATGAAACAGTATTCGAGGCACAGGAACAATGATCATAAAATATGATGTCTGTCTTGTATGATTAGGTATAATCAATTACAGTTCTCAGGATGAAGGAGTCTATTTGTCTGGTGCATTTTCTTCTTAAATCTTGATTGCCGGACAGGGCTTTTTCAGGTGAGAGGGTCTTGTAGCTCAGGAGACAACACAGGGTGTTTTATTAGCAGTTTTTCACAGTTAACAGCACACAGGGGAGAAACTGCTTGTAATTAGGTACTATCCTTCGCTTGCCTCGCACCAGATAAGAACTTTCAGCTAAGATAGTTAATCTTCCTCCTGGAGCCTTCAGGTTTGTTTATCCTGTCTCTGTTAGCCAGATCTGTCCTTCCTCCCTCTATTAACCCACGGGTCCCTATATTTATTTGCTGAATTCTTTGTCTGTTAATCAGTGAATTCTTGTGCTAAGTTGGCCTAATACAAGTTAACTTTGGCCAGTAGCTTTAACAAGGGGTATTTACATAAAACTAGCCTTAAACTAACTTAGTCTACATATGTTACTAACACTAATTTGGCTTATACTAACTCAACTTAACGTATGTTAATTTTAGTTTAAAATAGGCAGGTGGGGGAGTCAGTCTCAGGTTCACTGGACCTTTACCCTTGCAGGGTACCATAATAACAGTAAAACTCATGGCAGAGAAATTAACTACAGGCCAGTAAAATGACACAAGGAGGGTTCGTACCAGCTTCTGTTGTCTGTGTGGCCCCGTCAATTTTCTCTGTCTTTCCAGTTTTTTTTTTTCTTCAAGGAATATATGAAGCAGCAAGTGTAAGCATTGAATCCAGGGATTATAATAAAGTAAACCCCTGTATACAGCATGTACTCTTGTTCCTTCTGGGAATTTTAGAATGCTCTTTTTAGCTTGTTTGCTACTTATTATATTTATCCCATCTTACAATTCAGAAATGTTAAAATCCTTGAACCTAAAACTTATGTATCACTCATTTCCTTCTTAGTATAGTTCTAATGGTTTATTAGTACATACAATGGAGATTGATTTTTTTACATGTTTCAAATGTACCCTGATGTTTGCAGATTTTGACAGAAATTTCATTTAGACAACTTAAAGATACCACTGTGTTTCCAATACAATTCCAATTCAAACAAGTAAAAGCCAAATGTTGGGTTCTTGGTGGTTTGGGGAGTCCAAAGTATTCTTCCTGCTTTGGGTACAGTGTAAAACAGTTGAACATACATGTGCCTTTCCATATCAAGAAGCTTTTTTTTTGTTTGTTTGTTTGTTTTGAGAGGTTTTTGCTATAGGGCACGTGCGCTCGCCAGACAGACAGAGAGAGACAGAGAGACAGAAAGTGAGAAATCACCCCCCAGGGGGGATGGTCATGTCGCAATCCCTTCTCCATTCTCCTCTCGGGATCTTGGGCATGCACGCACACGCGCCCGGCGTGAGTTCTAAGCCACCGGGTCCGGGATGTGAACCGCAGTCGACTACGTGGGAGTCCAGCGACATAGCCATTATGCTAACTGCTGGCTCCCTCAAGAAGCTTTTTTAGGGGAAAAATCATATTTAGAGTAAATGATTGTATGAGATTAAAAATGAACTTTTGCTCCTGGGGACCTTGCAGAATAGTGTAGCTATCACTGTATAGAATACAGTCAGATGCTTCTGTTTCATGAGGAAACAGATTCTAAGATCAGATGTTACAAAGTTTCAAAGCATCCTAAAAACATTTAGATGCAGTTAATGTTCAGATGGGGGAAATATCAAAAATAAGACATAAACCGATATATATTAATTTGTAAATCTCTGATCCATGACGTTTCTTACAAGGAGTTCATCTTCAAGTTTTCCTCTCTATCCTCTCTACAGACGAATGAATGTGTACTGGAAGGTCATGGACCTTGGAGCCATGTTTGAGATCTCGTATGAGAACTGTTTTCATAATACTAGTTAACATATTTCCCATCATTGAATTTACTTCCACTGCAAAAGTCAGATACATTATTTTTTTCATTGCTATTCAGAGTAAAACAAACCTCAAAACTTTCATAGTTTATGTAGTTCTTTAAGCAAGTTTTGATGTGCCTTTTTAAAAATGAAAGTTATTGTGTTTTAAGTTGTAAAACAGTGTGTACTTGTTGCCATTCTTTTTTTGGAGAGGTTTTTGCTGTAGGGCGCGTGCACTCGCCAGACAGACAGAGACAGACAGAGAGATAGAAAGTGAGAAATCACCCCCCAGGGGGGATGGCCACACCGCAATCCCTTCTCCTCCATTCTCCTCTCGGGATCTTGGGCACGCACGCACACGTGCCCGGCGTGAGTTTAAGCCACCGGGTCCGGGATGCGAACCGCAGTCGACTACGTGGGAGTCCAGCGACATAGCCATTATGCTAACTGCTGGTCCCCTTGTTGCCATTCTTTATGACAGTATACAGTAGTCAAATCCTCTTATCTATCAAGTTCACCTTTGGACTTCATGATGAGGAGAGAGGACAGTAAGAGTTCTCTTTCATGATATCATAGCTTAATATACTCATGGCATAAAGTCTGTTAGGCTGAAGACCTTTGTCAGCAGTAATGATAATGAACGACACCAATAATCTTTGGTCGGTCCACTTCCACACTAATAAGGTTTGGTCCGTCTACTTCTTGAGCTGAAGATCAAAGTAAATCATTTGCCTCTTATTTAAATACTCTATTTTCACATGTATTAAATATTCCCATTTTCCTCTGATGAACAGAGTAGATAAAAAAACAAATCCTACACTCTAGGAATGTGGGAGCTAAGGATTTCACAGTTCTGGAATTTTGGGACACTTGGGTAAATGATCTCTAAGTAGATGTCTAGTTAAAAAAAGACACATGGGCAAAGGCAGTTTTCATTCTTACTTTCACTGAGTTTGGAGTCAATGTAACTGGATGATGAGTGTATTTGAATTTGAAGACCTGCAATAAATAGAGTTTTTAAAATCTTCCCAAGCCTTCTTTCTTATTTGTCGGCATCCAATCAAATAATGCATCTTTTTCATTGTTAGATTTGGTATCTTGTTTACCCAGCAAGCTAAGAGTACTTAGAGAATTAAGAGAGCATGGTTTAATTGTATCTTTGTATAGTTTTTTTTCTTTTTCTTTTTTTTTTTTTTAAAGATTCTAAAGGTTACTTTTCCCTTTCTGTGATAGGTTCTTCTTGCTTTGCTGGTGATTATGTCACTTGGATTAGGCCTGGGGCTTGGACTCAGAGAACCGGAAAAGCAAGGTAAAACCCTCAGTCTTTTCTCAGAATATTCCTTTATTTCTTCTTCCTCCTGGCCTCAAACTATTAAATCTCATCTCCAGCCCCACACCTTCTTTTTCTCCCCGCCCCCGCAGTGCTCTTCCAGGCTTCTCCCTCTTCCACACCCTATGTGCCAGGAGCCCACATCTGCAGTTAGCATTACCCACTGTCATTTCTGGACTTTACTACTTCATCCTCACGTACAAATCCCTACTCCTTGGAGATTCAGACCTTTCCAGTGTTTTTTTCTTTACCCTTCTTCACCTTTAAAGAGGACTTTGAGGGAACAACAGAAAGTGTAATGGTTACATTGCTGGGCTCCCATATGGCCAACCGCAGTTTGAATCCTGGATCTCGACGGTTGAAACTCACACTGGGCACATGTGCATGTGTGCCCCAAATCCCTAGAGGAGCAGCATGACCATACCCCCTGGGGGGTGATTTCTCACTTTCTGTCTCACTCTGTCTCTCTGGTGAACACACGCACCCTACGGCAAAAATCTCTCTCTCTCAAAAAAAAGAGGACTTTGATAAGTGAATCACAGACTTTTCTTCACAGCTCCTACCATAATTGTCAACATCTGATGACAAGGTGTTTATGTCCAGTCACAAGGCCCCAAAATCTATTGCTCTAGTTCTTTGGCCTCCTGCTACCACCCTCTCGATGCCACATTAGTATTTTTCCATCTCTGAAAGTGCACCATTTCTTGGTTGGACAGTACCAAATTCTTGAAGAGTAGTATATCATAAAAGCTTTACAATATTATAAATCCAAAAATCACTTCACATTCCTTTAGCCATATCCTATTGGTATGAATAGTAACTATATTACTTATAATGAACTAAATTAAAAACACTTAAAGAAATCTTTTTGCATATTCTTTTGGTACTTTCATACAGGCCAAGGATCAATAGTTAGATCATTCATTTCCCTTTTTGATTCGACTAATACCTTGTAGTTTGATACCAATGGGGAAAGTCTTCTTGCTTCTTCATTACGGACAGTCTTGATGAGGTGACAATTCTCCAATCCTTTTAAAATTTAAGATGAAAAAACACTCAGTTCCCTTACTATACTGTGAAAGCACAGTAGAACTAAAAAGATGACTATCAGCTGGAAAATTACTGACATCTCTTGGTGAAGTGGCTGGTGTGTGTGTGTGTGTGTGTGTGTGTGTGTGTGTGGTGTATTTCAGTGCCAGAGGGTTAGTGCTCACACATGAGAAAGAGGAGGGAGGAGAGAGAGAGAGACAGAGACAGAGAGAGAACACTCCTGAGTTGGGCCTGGCCACCTCCAATTCATCATTCTGTCAGAATCCTGGGCACTCATGCACCTAGTGTGTTGCCTCTGGGGCCAGGATTTGGACTCCGGTCTGCCACCTGAAATTCATCTTCCTCTGCACAGCACTTAACCGCTGTCCTACATACAAAGCTGGCCCACTTGGCTGTTGTGTTTCTGGGCTATGGTGCCGGTCTAGATTTAATGAACGTACAAAGGCCATGTTGGTGGTATTATTCTGATCTTAGTACACACAAATGGGCAACATTTCTTGACTTTTTTATCCTTTAAAGTGCATAAGTGGATTGCAAAAGGCAAATGTTACTATCTGAACAAAGTTTTCTATTTTCCAGCTTTTTTTACTGTCTTCTTTCCTTTAGTAAATCTACAGGCTCTTGTTTCCTTTTTCTTCCCCTACAACGTTTTATTAAATTCATTCAGAAAACATTGGCAAAATAAATTTCAGTTGGAAATTTACAGATAAAGCTTAAAAGTATAAAGTTGTATACACCAAAAATACAGGTAATATTTATAACAGTAACTTACAGAGGCAAACTGATGATAAACTACAATTTCACAGAAGATAGTAAACGTGTTGCACACGTGTCAGGTCTTTCTTTTAGGCAAAGTACTATTTTGATGACAAATTAACGGATATACCCAAAGTGAACTGTGTCCAGACAATTAAGAAAAACAGGTTTTGAGTTGTTTGTCTCTTATAAACATAAGTTTATCATTTATAATCTTCATACATTTTTATGCTTGAACTTTCATAATTTGATAAAGCATTCACAAAATAATCTGTAGACTAGTTCTAATGGACAAATAACACATTAAGCAGATATGACTGTCCTAATATTCACACACATCTACCACATACTCTCTACCAACCCCTTCCCCCCTTACAGTCTCTAGCACCCACACCCATCTTCTCTACCACCAGGTCGTCCTATCTCTCAACCTCTGCCGTACAGTGTGGAGATATGCAGCACACATTGAAAGGGATATACAATGTGAACCTTTCAAAGTTTGGCTGTCTTCACTCAATATTAAGTATTCCATATTCATTCATTTTGAATCAAAAATAGGATCTCATTTTTTAGAAGAATTATTTATTTAATTTTATCTATTCACTCATTTATTTTAATTTGACCAGAGAGATACAGAGTGAGAGAGAGAGAGAGAGAAAGGGAGAGAGAGAGAGAAAGGGGGAAGTGAGAAGGTAAGCCACCAGATCCAGGACTCAAACAGTGTTTGGCCATGTGGGAGTGCCCAGCACCTCCCACTACATCACCTGTTGGTCCTCAGGAACTCATTGTTTTTTATAGCTGTGCACATATATATAAAATGGAATATATAAATATATATATGTCACAGTTTGTCAACCCAGTCACTAGGTTGGTTCTATGTTTTAACCAGTATAAATAATGCTGCAATAAACATGGAAGCATAGATGTCTTTCTGACAAAGTGTCTTATACGTTGAGTAGATGCCATGAAGTGAGATTACTGAGTGATCTGGAAGTTCTATCTGTAAGTTTTTGAGAAACCTTCATATTGTTTTCCACCGAGGTTGTACTAATTTACATTCCCACCAACAGTGTAAGAAGGTTCCCTTTTGCCACAATCTCACCAATACTTGTCATTCTTCATTATTATTATTTTCTGACCCTAGCCATTCTAACTAGGGTTAAATGATATCTTATTGTAGTTTTAATTTGCATTTCTCTTAGGCACAGAGACTTTGAACATCTTCATATGGCTTTTGTCCATTCTTAAGTCCCCTTGGAGATCTATCTGTTCAGCTCGTTTCAGGCTATCTTTCTTGAGTCATTTTCCTCTGTACTTTATCTTTCCTCTCAGTCTATCAGTTCTCATGTGGCATCACTCCCTGCCCTCTCCCACTCAGGGCATTGGCATATACCTCTTACCTTTCTTTGGCAGGCATCCTATAACCTTGTTATTTGTTCTTCCACTATGTCTATTTTCATAAGCTCCAGCCTAGGCCTTTTCCACCATTTTCCACTCCAGTTAATCCACCCTCCATAGGCAATATACATTTTTGCATATGTAGGTTTAAAAACTTATAGATGTCATTACAAATGTACAGTTTGCACAGTACAGTGTAACTTTTTTAAACTTATTTTTCAAATATTGAAGACTGACTATGTGTTTGGTACTCTTCTAATTACTGGAAATACAGTGGTAAAGAGAACAGACAGAAATTCTTCCAAGAGTTTACATTCAAGCATGAGAGACTGTCTTAGTTTGTTATGGCTAATAGAACTACCTGATACTGGAGATTTATAAAGAAATAAGAGTTTATTCAGATTAGTTTGGAGGTTTGATGTCCAGGGGCCAACTTCTATGAAGCATGGCAAAGGGCAGGATCTTAAGAGCTGCTGTCTGTAAGTTTCAGTGTCTCATTCCCAGTACTAATATATCCATTAGAACTCAGTCATAAGGGCACCACTCTAATGACGTTATCACATCCAAAGGTCCCACTCTAGGACATTGTAAAGACAATATGTTTTTATTTAACACTTTTACAATGTAATCAAGTCCCAATGCATGAATTTCTGGGGAACATCTAATCTCTACCCATGAAGACTGAATTTCAAAACATAAACTTCTAGGTGACAAACCATTTTCCAAACCATACAAGGACAGACCACACACACACACACACACACACACACACACACGTATATACACACACATATATCAGCTAAATAAGTGTAATATGATAGGGAAAGTGTTAAGGAGTAAAGCCAAAAGGTAGAATATGAAACATTGAGTCAGGATAGAGTATGTGTGTATAATAAATTTTGAGTAAAGAGCTGGGGAAAATGAGAGAGGAACATGACAATACTTTGGGGAAAAATATTCCAAGTAAGAAGGAATAGAAAGTGAGAAGGCCCAAGACTGGAGCTCACTCAGCATGTTCCATTTCAGGGATAACAAGGAAGCAATGAGCAAGAACTAAGAGGGTTAGAGGGAGGTGGTCATGAAATGAGATCAACTAGATAGAAACAAGTCAAGCTATATAGGGAGTTATATGTCAAAACATGACCTTTGTCTTTCATTCAGTGTAACAGGAAGTGATCAGAGGATGTGAACAGAGGAATGATACACTCTGCTTTGCTTTTCAGTGGGATCATTAGGACTGCTGTGTTTTGAATATAGGGCAGAGTGAAAACAGAAGTAGAGAGTTGAATTGGGAAATAATCACAATACACTGGACAAATACTATGTCTTGAACCAGAGGATTAGAGTTGTGGCTGTTAAGGAGTATTTGGGTCCCGTATAGATTCTGATGTGATAGATAGATTTTATTGACAAATTTGATATGGCATGAGAGAGAGGAGACAAAAATGACCACAGATTTTGGGCATAAACATCTGAGATATGAAACTTCCAAAATTAAGATATGGAAGTCTGTAAAAGAAGCTGGTTTGGGGAGAAAAGTCAAGAGTTCAGTTTGAGGTATGTTTTATGTACAATATCTACTAAATGTCCAAGTAGAAAAGTCAAAAAGCTAGTTGGGCATACAAGTAGTGGCTCTCAGCATCACATATGGGATTTAAAGCATCCCATGTGACTAGGGTACACCAACCTTAAAGAATTAGAAAGATAAAGAAAAACAAAACAAAACAAAAAAATAGCACATGACTCAGGGGTGGCCAGGAGCATGGAGGAAAGCTAGATGATTCTTGTCCTAAAGCTCCAATATAGAGAGGTTTCAAAGAAATGGAGCGTATAACGCAAAGGCCATTTATACAATTGGACTATGATATAAGTATATATAACTTTTCTTACTTTTTCATTGAGCAGTTTTTAGATCCGTCTAAATTGCCATGCATGCATCTACTCTTATGCTTCTCTATGGCATGTATCCAACAAGCGATTTGTATGCCCTCTTCCAGTACTGAATAGCCAGGCTGACTGTAGTTCTTATCCCCATATAAATCCTGCAGATCCCCTAGGGACCTATGTGAGATTCGCTTGTCATATACACAGGAATGGGATTCCCGGATCTTAGAGTTCCTATCTTTTGAACTTGAGTAGTCCTGAATTGCATTCTGGAACGGCTGCCACAGCCCACTTACACCTTCCCCACACATCGTCATCACCTTGACAGTGTCTAGCTCTCTAATTTTTAGTAATGTACCATTGGGTATAGAATGATATCTTTTATTTTAATTTTTGTTTACCTGTCCTGCTACTCCAATCTATGTTCATAGTTCTTTGGTTTGTTGTATGGTTGCAATTTCCATTAGCACATCTATTATGCTGGATCTCATGTTTTTAATCTCCTTTTATTTTGCTTCTTCCTTTTGTTAAAGAACATTCTTGTTAGCTTCCTAAGCTATGATGCTTGGGAGATATGACTTGAGTCCCTGTCCCTGTGTATCTGAAGACTTCTGTATTATCCTAATGGTTGACAGTTTGGTTAGATATTCTGCTCTCTCTTTTTTTTTCTTTGGAGAGATTTTCACTGTAGGGCGTGTGCGCTCGCCAGACAGACAGAGAGAGACATAGAGACAGAAAGCGAGAAATCACCCCCCAGGGGGGATGGTCACGCCGCAATTCCTTCTCCTCCATTCTCCTCTCGGGATCTTGGGCATGCACGCACACGCGCCCAGCATGAGTTTTAAGCCACCGGGTCCGGGACACGAACCGCGGTCGACTACGTGGGAGTCCAGCGACATAGCCATTACGCTAACTGCTGGTTCCCGATATTCTGTTCTCTTCTACTCTAGTTTTTATTTGTTTATTTATTTGTTCTATCAGTGACACATATACAGAGAGAGAGGAGAGAGAGAGAGAGAGAGAGAGAGAACCCCCAAACATGTGCCTGATGCCATGATCCACTCCCAGCCTTCAGCCAGCCCAGATCATTGGCATACACACGCCTAGTGTACTCAGAGCGGTCTCCATATGCAAACTGTTATCCTCTTATATGAACCTGCTTTCTGGAGTGTCTGTGTGTGTGTGTGTGTGTGTATGTGTGCGTGCACGCTACACCAGTCTCACTCCTAGATATTGAATTCTAAGATGAAAATAATTTTTCTCTAGAAATTTAAAGACAATACAATACTTTCCTGTTTTCTAGTGATCTTTACTGCTTTGATGAAATCTGATACCATTGTGATTTCTGGTCCTTTGTAGATGGCTCATAATGTCTTTTTGGAAATTCTCAAAATACCGGGTCCGGGCCACGAACCGCGGTCGACTACGTGGGAGTCCAGCGACATAGCCATTACCCTAACTGCTGGTTCCCAAAATAATTTTTCTCTAGAAATTTAAAGACAATACAATACTTTCCTGTTTTCTAGTGATCTTTACTGCTTTGATGAAATCTGATACCATTCTGATTTCTGGTCCTTTGTAGATGGCTCATAATGTCTTTTTGGAAATTCTCAAAATCTCTTAATCCCATTGAGCTCTTAGTGTGAGTTTTGCCCTGAGAAATTTGATAGGCAATTTTGATAACTGATACTCTGCTGTTCTGGGAAATTTTATGCTTTTGTTTCTTTAATATCATCATAATTATCTTTGTTTTCATGTTTAGGTACTAACTCCTTGGATTTTTTTGTTGTTGTTTAAGAGAGATTTTTGCTATAGGGTGCATGAGCTTCCTGGAGGGACAAAAGACAGAAAGCAAGAAATCACCCCCCAGGAAAAAAGGAGTCCGGACTCAAACCACAGTCAACTATATAGAAGTCGAGTGACTTAACCGTTACGCCATGTGCTGGTTCTGGACCCCCACCTTTTAAAATTCACTTTTTAAGACTTTTGTTTCATAATTTTGTGTAATCTTCCTGATGTATTTTGTCAGTTTATACTACCAGCAACAGCATATCTCATCAATTTGGTTACTAGCGAATAATCACTTCTTTCTTTCTTTTTTTTTTTTGCACTTCCACTAGATTTTTGTAACAGTACATTCACAATCATCCGAATATTTTGTTTTGTGTCCTTTTGGAGTCCAATTATGGTAGGATGAGTCCCAGAGATCTAATGCTTTGAAAACTATCAGTGTTCTTTGTCAGTCTTCATCTTTTGTAATCTTTCTGAACATTTAAAAATGAGTGGGGCCAGCAGGTGGTATAGTGGTTAAGGCACTGGACTCCCATGTGGACAATTGTAGTTCGAGTCCCAGACTTGGTGGCTTAAAATTCATGCTGGTCACGTGTGCCTGTGTGCCCAAAATTCCAAGAGAAGAATGGAGGAGAAGGGATTGTATTGTGGCATCCCTCCCTGGGGATGATTTCTTGCATTCTGTCTTTCTGTCTCTCCCTGCCTTTCTAAAGAATGCATGCATCCTATAGCAAAAAATCTCTTAAAAAAAAAAAAAAGAAAAAAATGAGTATCCTAAAATACTGTCTTTAACCGCTTTACTCTTGAGGCATTTATATTTTGCTAAAACCCTAAAATTATTTTTTTTTGTATATGATATAAGACAAGAGTATCAAAAGGCTCCTCCTTTCCCCATAGAGCTAACCAATTGTCCCAATACCATGTAGTATTCACTACTGCTTTATAGTTACCACTTATTAAATGAAGACTTTATAACCATATCTGCTTTGTTTATTATTTTATCCCCTATGCCTAGCATAGTACCTGGCATATAATAATGCTAAAATAGATATTTGTGGAATAACTGTATCATAATTTTAAACTGCAGCATGATTTGCAGGGAATGGGGGCAGGGTGTGCATAGTTGAATTTCCCCAAGCATGCCATTATACCCTCCTTGCCTTCAAGAGACTTCTTTAGAATACAAAACAGAAAGCAAGTATCACAGGGAATTACAGTAGTCAAAGGGAACACGCAGTGAGGAAACATTTAACTATGCTTTTCCCACAACGAAAACTGATATTCTCACTCGTTATATTGGTTAATATGTTGATGACTGCAAAATTAGTATCTTTATCTCTTTCCTGAGCTTTAGATCCAAATACTCAGACTCCTTACCTGGTACATATTTGCTTGGGTATGTAGAATACTGAGCTTAGCTTCTCTTGGGGGCCTCATTCTACATCTTGGACATTCTGTACTCATTTCCCTTCCTTATTCTTTAGACAGTATAAAGCTGTTCTACTAATTGCACTTAATTTATCTTTAGACCCTTATCATTTTCGGCTTGGGTTAAATGTTTTGATTGGTCGAAGAGTTTCCCTCTCCCCCCCCATTTCCCTCCACTTTTGTTCCAGAGTGAGTTTCTAATTACTCATTATGGATCTCATTATGTGTCCTCTGCTTCTTCTTTAATAGCTCCTCATAACCAAAGGTTAGGTTCAAGCTTCTTAGCATGACACGTATACCTTTCCCCCTACCCATGCATCTACCTGTGAACGCTGACCCTAAGGCATCATGATGTGTCTACTGTTCTCTAAATTTGCCTTAGCTGCTCTAGTTTTAAAAATTGTAATTTCCCCCCCAAGATCCAATGGGTCCTCACACTCCTTTGCTAGTTTCTATTCCACACGTTATATGCTTCTATGTACTCCTTGAGCATATCAGTGTCTCACTTTTTTCTAATTGCCAAAGTGTATGTTTACTACTAGCAAAAGACAGAGAGTGAGAGAGAAAGGAATAAAATATCTCTAGTGGATCTGTTGTCCTCCATTTCTTCACCCTGTCAGGATTTGGGGCATGTAGGCACATGTGCCCAGTATGTTTTTCAATATGCCAGGACGGCACAGTCAGCCATGTGGGATCCAGCGTACCCAACCACCAGGCTATGGAGCAGGCCTTAGTGTCTCATTATTTATTACATTGCATTGACAAATCATACAGTACCATAAAAATAATCTATTCATCTGTCCTAATCTGTCCACTTGTGTGTCTTCCATCACCTAGGTACGAGACACTGGGTAACTTTCAGGTATTGAGGTCCTTATTTTCTTTACAGGCAGCTGCAGGAAAAAATGCTTTGACTCATCACATAGAGGGCTGGAGGGCTGCCGGTGTGACGTGAGGTGTAAAGACCGAGGCGATTGCTGCTGGGACTTTGAAGACACCTGTGTGGAGTCAAGTACGAATTCTACGAATACATTTCTTAGCATGGTGGTTGTGCTGTCATCAATGCATGTTTACATTCTCAGCTACCCCCCTAGCGTATTAGTCTCTGAGGGCTGTTGTAACAAAGTACCACAACCCAGCTCGCTCAGACAATAGAAATTCATTGTCCCACTGCTCTGGAAGAGAGAAGTCACATGTCTAGAGGCTGGCAGAGTTGGTTCCATCTGAAGGCTGTGAGAGCGAATCCATTCCATGTCTTTCCCAGATTCAGGCAGGTTGCTGACAATCTTTGGTCTTTGATTTATGGCCAGCACAACTCCAAACTTTTCCTTCATCTTCTCATAATCCGTGTCCCTCTATACATTTTGGTCTAGATTTCCCTTTTTTATAAGAACACTAGTCATATTGGGTTAGAGTCGACCTTAATGACCTCATTTTACTTGATTATCTGCAAGTTAATTGGACCTGTTTTCAAATAAGCTTATTTTTGTGATGGGGGTTAGGATTTCAATATCTTTTTAGAGGACACAATTAAACTCATAATACACATTATGCAGGTTCTATTTTTTTCTCTATCATTTCCCCATGTATAGCTGTAAATAGTCCACACTACTTAATTGAGGTAGGATAGGATAATAGTCTACAGTAAATGAACTGCTATATAACGATTTAAGTTTCAATGGATTTTTTTACCATGGCTTAAATTAACATCTTATTTAGTTTAATTTGCAGTGGTTCTCAAACTTCAAAGTCAATGAGACTCACTTGGGAAGCTGGTGATTCTGGGTCATTCTGATGCCAGCACTGTGCTGAGCATGTTTGAGAAATACTGTTCCCTTGGTGGAAGACACAGTTTGTAATGTTTAATTCTCCAAGTAATCAGGAAAGTTGGAGATGAGGGGCATCTCGTGGTTGGAGGAGAGAGAAAATTAGAAAAGTAGAATTCCTTAAGTTATGTTCTTTGAAAGGCAAGAGGGAGGGGATAACGCAGTATAGATAGATCTGTATTTCCTTTATCTCCAAAAATCTTTTTTTTTTTTCTAAGTAAAATGGAATGCTGGGGAATAGGAACCCTATGATTAACTGAGGCATACAACCATGACCTGTCCTGCATGTTTGTCTAAGCACATTGGATGTTGATTTTAGTCACTTGTTTTCTAGCAGGTGACAGTCAGAGAGAAGTCTTCTTCCAGACTGTAACTCCTTTTAGGAATGGGATTTGTTTAACCAGATCACATACTATGTGTATAGGCTAGGAGAATACCAGAAGTGTGGTTGGAAGCTAATCCACCACTTTTGTCATTCTCAAGTGAGAGGTACCCAACCTGCCTGGATTCTCCTTTTTCTTCGGTTGTCAATGGTTCTCCCTTGCTGTCTGTCATTAGACAAAGTTGGGCAAAGTTGTTCGTAGGTGGCAATCAGTCTGGGCTAGTTATTCTTCACTATGGGGAGCTCCTACCGTTGGGTGGAAATAGGTCCAGTGTTCAGAGCTTCTGCAAACTCAGAGGGTACCTGCTAAGTAGAGCAGAGTTGCATCCACACTAATGAAGAAAAGTGGTGAATTGTCTTTTTTTTTTTTTTTTTGCTATTATTTATTTTCATTTGTTATTGGAAAAATAAAAACACAGACACAAGAATTTGACTCACTACAAGAATACAGGAAGAACTGCATGAAATTTGTGTCTTTTGTATTGGATACTTAATAGCTCAGAACCAAATTGTGTAATTTTACAGCTCAAATATGGACATGCAATAAATTTCGCTGCGGGGAGACCAGATTACCGTCCAGCCTTTGCTCTTGTTCAGATGACTGTTTACAGAGGAAAGACTGCTGTGCTGACTATAAGAGTGTTTGCCAAGGTAAGCAGGATGTTGACTCATTTGCCTCTGCGAGTTCAGTGGAACTCTGAGTTTCCTCGACCATCTTGGGCTATAAAAATTAAATTAAAAATTAACTAGTTGTGGACCCAGCAGTTAGCGTAATGGCTATGTCGCTGGACTCCCATGTAGCTGACCACAGTTCGAGTCCCGGACCCAGTGGCTTAAACTCACGCTGGGCGTGTGTGCGTGCGTGTCCAAGATCCTGAGAGGAGAATGGAGAAGAGATTGCAGTGTGGCTGTCTCTCTCTGTCTGGCGAGTGCATGTGCCCTATAGCAAAAACCTCTCAAAAAAATTAACTAGTTGTTACATATGGAAGTAAAGATTAAATGTGTGGGAAGAAATATAGGAAGCTCATTGCAGAGGTAGGAAAAAAAAAAAGAAAAAAGGAGAGAGAGCTTATAGCTCCAAAGTTAAAACATCATGAGAAAGATTATCTAGCCCAAGTAGCCTGTTAACCTAATGCTAAAGTTGAAATAACTTTGTTCGGAGTAGTTACATGACTAAGGACCCTCAGGGAGTTAATGTAGAATCTAGATTATAAATCAGGTTTTTCAACTCTTGATTCCAACTGCTCACCACTTTAGCAAATGTTATGAATTAAAAACAAACAAACAAACAAACAAAAAATGAACACTAGTCATGGGGCCAGGGGATGTGTAATGGTTACTTTGATGGATTCTCATGTAGTCAACTGTGGTTTGAGTCCCAGACATGGTGGCTTAAAACTCACATGTGTGTGTGTATGCCCAAGATCTCCAGAGAAAAACGGAGGAGAAGCGATTGCGGCATGGCCATCCCCCAAGGGGTGATTTCTCACTTTCTGTCTCTCTGGCAAGCTTATGTGCCTATGCCCCATGGCAAAAAATATCTCTCAAAAAGAAAAGAAAAATCACCAATCTCAGAACATCTAATGAAATTTATGAAAAATATACTTATGCATATAGAAACAAAACTTTCATAAGACCACATCCAACTATTGGGTCATTGGAAAAGTCATGACGCCTTTTTGCATAGAAAAACAGAAAAATATGTCTTGACTTTCCTAACAATTTAATAAGTCAATTTACACTTTCAGTATTTTTACATTAAAAAATTAGATTGAATTCTGATTTTTGAAATAGAAGGGAGATGTTATAGTAGTGATGTTACTAACATTTTAATGTAATTATTTTTTAATTATGTATTTAATTTTATTTATTATTATTTTTAATTTACTATAGGGCTCACCAGAGACAGAGAGAGAGAGAGAGAGACAGAGACAGAGAATGTGAGACAGCAAGCTGCCAGGTCTGGGACTTGAAGTTGTGATCAGCTATGTGGGAGTCCAGTGCCTTAAACACCACACCAGCTGCTGGCCCCAATGTAATTATTTTAAAGTAATACATGAACCCATCTTTATACAAAATATAAATGAAAATCAGGGAAAAGGGTTGTCAGAAAAAGGAATAAAAGCCTAAATGGGAACTCTTTTATAAAATAATAATAGACCTATAGTAAGTATTGGATTTTGTATCATTTCAAAATTCCTCTAAATTCAGAAAGGTTAAGTTCTAAAGGGCTTATTTCTCTAATGTGTTCACTGACCATAATATCTTTGATATGTGGTGTTCTCCATTCTTGTGCCCTAATTTTATAACTTTGAACATTTTATCTCAGTACTGATTATGTTATAAAATTTTCCACTAAATTGACCGCACAATATTTCTTGAATTTAACCGAAACAAAAGTAAACTTTACTGCAGTGTTGACGTTAACCATCACCAATTGGTTACTGTGATGGAGTTAACGTAATATAAATGGTTTCTCCTTGAAAAGATTAAACTATATATATATATGTATATATACATATATATATATATACATATATATATATGTATATATATTTAAACGTTGTCAAAATTATATCTTCAGATGGTACTCTGAGAAAATTTGAATTATTCCTGTGCAAGAAATCAACTAGTCACCTTTGTTTGGAAGTTTGGAATTTAAAAAAAGAGATAACTTTCTGTCATTTACAGAGATAGAGAGAATAATATGATGTTTTTCCTGTAAGTATTTACTCTATCTTTAGCAATTATTGACTCATGGCCAATCTTGTCTCATACTGACAAAGTACAATTTTCAAAAAGATAACATGACTCTCCTCCTAATGTAAATGAGACATGTCGAAGATTAACTGACTCATTAATGAGATAACCAACTAGCACGTACGTTTATTTCCAAGAGTATTGAAAAGACTATGTATATACAGGACTCAACTAAACTGGACTAATTTCACTAAAACTGGGGCCAGCCTGTGGTGTAGTGAAGGCAGCTAGATGTCATATGGCTAAGCCCATGATTCGAGTCCTAGATCTGGCACCCACTGGGTGTGTGTGCTCGCATGATCAAAAGCCATGAAGGAAGGAGAAATGGGGGAAGAAGGGATTCGGCATGTTCATTCCACATAGGGAGTGTGTTCTCTCTCTCTGCTCTCCCTCTCTCTGGAAAGTGTATGTGCTCTCTAGCAAAATTTTTTTAAAAAATCACAAAAAACAGTAACTTTTTGTTTGGGAGTGATTGTATGTGCACTTGCTGGAGAGACAGAAAGAGACAGAGAGAGAAAGTGAGAAATTACTCCCCAGGGGCAATGGCCATGCCACAATTCCTTCTCCATTTTCCTCTCAGGATCTTGACACATGCATATGTGCCCAGGCAGGAATTTTAAGCCACTAGTCCATGACTTGAACCTCAGTCGTGGGAGTCCAGCGACATAACCATTACACCATTGGCTAGTTCCAAAACCGTAACTTTTGATGAGATAAAAATGATTTACATTTCTGTAGGACAATTTATTTGCTATCAGACAAGAATGAGTTACACTGTTTTTTGTTTTCTACCAGTTAATTGCTACCCTTACTGAATTGTAAAATGAAGATAGAGTAAATTAGATGAAAATTTATACCTTCAGAGAATTTAATAACTTATACATCGATTTTTAATAATTCTCAGCATGACATTAAAATGAAATCTAGTGAATCAGTCTTTCTTTTCCTTATTTCCAAGTTTCAGATTTTTTTTCTTAACAAGTTATACTCATCATTTCTCCTAACCTCTGCCCCCAAAGTTTAATTGTTTTAAAGCAAATCCTATGGCCAGCTGGTGGCGTGGTACTTAGGGTGCTGGACTCCCATGTGTTCGACTGTGGTTTGAGTCCCAGAGATGGAGTCTTGCTTTCTTACTTTCTCTCTATATATCTCTCTCTGGTCATCTTAAATATATAAATAAATAAACAATAAATAAAAACTTAAATAAATAATTATATAAAAGAAAGCAAATTCGAGACAAGCAGTTGGCGTAATGGCTATGTCGCCGGACTCTCATGTAGTCAACCGGGATTCGAGTCCCAAACACGGTGGCTTAAACTCACACCGGGCGCGTGTGCGTGCGTGCCCAAGATCCTGAGAGGAAAAGAAAGAGAGGGATTGCAACGTGGTCATCCCCTCTGGGGGGTGATTTCTCATTTTCTTTCTGTCGCTCTGACGAATGCATGCACCCTATTGAAAAAATCTCTCTCTCTCTTTAAAAAAAAAAAAAACAAATTCCAGAGTTAATATCACTCACCTGTAAATATTTTTAGTATATTTATTTATTATTCTAATAGTTATAAAAATACTGCCTTTAAGGAAAAGACATTATGAAGAAGAAATGTCCTTTTCAGTTAAAGGAATCCTTTTGGTTTTCTTGGTAAAGACTGGCTTTCTGGTGTTCAGCTGGTGTACCTCACTGATCTCTGCAAATCGCCAGGCACTGCCATTGCCCATAAGTGAAACGGAGTTTAATGTGTGCTGGAACAATATAGTCATTGGAGTAACATGAATTAAGCAGCTCGGGAAGGTGATGCCATTGGACACTTGTTTCTCTTTTCTTGTCTGTGGTATAACAGCCTAAATAAAATTTGATCTGCTTTCAGGAGAAACCCCATGGGTGAAAGAAGACTGTGGCACAGCCCCACAATCTCAGTGTCCAGATGGGTAAGAATGCGTGATATGGGGATTTGTACCTTCCTCTTCCAGTGGGCACACAGGAGGGCAGCTGAGAGGCAGGGGAATTTCCTCCACTCTAATAGCTTTTCAAAACAGAACAAGGAAACGATTAGATTTCTTGTGGCTTCTGCGTCCTAATGGACTTCTGTTAACTTTGTTATTTACAAAGCTCTTTTATATTAATTCACTATATTCATGTCTTACAACAGTGACTTCAAAAAATGGTTGGTGTGTTAAATAACTAACACTCTCACAGTACTGCAGCCAGTTCTGGAATTTAGATTGAAGTTATTTCTGCTAGAACTCTTTTTTGTTGTTGCTGAGAGGTTTTTGCCTGAGGGTGAATGTGCTTGCTGGAGAGAGAGAGACAGACAGACATAGTAAAAGGGAAAGTGAGAAATCATCCCCTGGAAGGAATGGCCATGCAGTAATACTTTCTCTTCCATTCTCCTCCTGGCATCTTGGGCATGCACGCACACACACATGTGTGATTTACGTCACCAGGTCTGGGACTTGAACTGTAGTTGGCCATGTGGGAGTCCAGTGACGTAACCACTATGCTGTCTTCTGATCCTACAACTTTTTTCTATTAACATCCTGCTTCCAGGGGAAGAGTTTTGTCTCTAGGTACTCTCACAATGAGAGGAGGACCTTGGAGATAGATGAGAAGGGCTGAGCGAGGTGGGCACAGGTGATAAATATGTGTACTAACACCCCCGGCCCATCCTCCTGTGCATCTTCTCCATACATTTGTAATGGCTGCTCCTTGCACTGTGCCGAGGCCTGGAACTACATCCCATTTTACCTCTAAGCCAAGGTGGACTCCCCTTTCCTCCAGCTGCCCTTCCATCGCACTTCTCTGGGTCAAGTAGTAGGAAGATGATGGTGAAGAGGAAGAAAGAGAAAGGAATACCTGACTTTAGAAAGGAAAAGTGGAAAAGAAATGTAAAGATATATGTGATTCAACGTAATATAAAAAAAAGATTATTATAATAAATACAATTAAATTTAAAAACAAAGAAAGAAAGGCCTGGTGTAAGCATGTTTAAATAACACTACTTCATTTAAAAATTAGCATGGGTGAATTGTCTGTTTTTGTATCAGGCCACCCTGGTTTGCCCCAATCTGCAAATCACGCTGCCCTCTCCAGCAGCTTTTGGGTAGAAGAGCAAAGGATTTACAATTAATAGTGATTTGAGTTTGAGTCCTAGTTAGCCTGTAGGACTGCACTAGTCACTTCTCTGAACGTCATCTATAAAATTGGAATAATAATAATGACATCAGGTTCAGACTGCATGAGAATTAATGATCTAAAATAAGATCATACGTTATAAAACAGTAGGGTGATTTTAGTTCTAGCCCATGGCATATAGCAGGTACTCAATTGTTAATATCTTTTTAGTGGTAATTTTCTCTTGTTACTTGTTTTATTAGATGGAAGCTGATACTTGAACCTATCAAGGTATTGCCCAGGACCAAATAGTCTAAAGACAGATGGCCTTTTCTCAGGGTCCAAATTACACTGACAATTCATCTCTGACTAAAGCACCTTAATAACAACAGCTAACTTTTATCTCGCACTTATCTTTACCAACATGGTCTCTACACAGTAGTCATTTTATATCTCATTCCATATAAAACATCCTTTGAGGTAGGTCCTATTATCTCCCTTCCCATTTTTTTCTTTCTCTTTCTCTTTCTTTTTTGTTTTTGTTTTTCTTTTTTTCTTCTTTCTGTTTTTCTTTCTCCTTTTGTTTGTCAGAGGGTGTGGAGGTTGGGTATATTTGCTGGAGAGAAACAGAGAGAGGAAGAAGAAGAAAGCATTCCTTCAAAAGGGTGTGGTCATATTGCAATCCCTTCACTTCTCCCTTCTTTTGGGATTTTGAACATGCACACACCTGGTGTGTTATTCAAGCCACTGGGGTTGCGATTTTAACCATGTAGTCAGGCATGTAAGATCTGGCTCCTTTAACCACTAGGCCATGGTTCAGGCCTGTCATCCTCATTTTTAAATAAGAGAATGTAGGTACAAAGTTGTGAAATAACCTGCCCAAGGTCACCCAGCTTGTGAGAGCTGGCGGCAGAAAGCAAAGCCAGGCTCATAGGCCCAGAGTCTCTTGGCATGAATGCTCCCTCAGGTCAGAGGTGAGCCTGTGACACTGTGCAACTGACCAGAGAGAGTGAAAGGAATGGAATAATGGGAAGGTTTGTTTATGGCCCCATAAATTGGAAGAGAGACAAGAGGTGAGCAGGAAGCTTCTTACCGAGGACTTTGTGAAGAACCTCAGCAAACCAAGAAGATGGAGCCTAACTATTAGTTAGAATGATCTCCCCCAGATTGGTGAGTCGCTTGTCCACCCAAGGACTGAAGCAGTATGACACAGAGATTATAGCAACCTTGAAGGAAGACAGCACCAGAAAGGAAGCTGGCAAAGTAAGGGGTGGTGGCAGTAAATGGCACAACCACCATCTCATACCATCCATGTGTTCCATTTCCCCCAGTGGAGTCGTCTGCACCTATCCTCTCTATCCCTGGGCAGGAGGGCTAACAATCACCTTTGCTTCTCTTAGCTCTGATGTGGACACCCGATTCTCACCTAGGAGTCTAATTACCACAGATTAGCCAGAGAAAAGTGTACCCATTTTCTTAGTTTTACATGGACATGGAGATCTCCACAAGCGTGTGAAGTCAAAGAAGTGGCCAAAGCAGGCTCATTTACACTTTTAGACAAAGAATGATGCATTTGTGAAGAAATGACAAGAAGGACAAATCTTCTAGACTAGGATAATAAGGTCTAGGAAAATTACTAAGAGATAAATGGGGGCATATTAAACTAATAGAAGATAAGGTTTTACTTATTCAGGTTTATTGTAGCCTCAATCACTAGTTTTCTGGTGACACAGGCTATTTCGCACCTTGGATTGGAAGGATACCCCTCACAGAGGAATCTTTATGGCTTGCTATAAGGAGAGGACTGATCAAATGACCTTCTGCAGTGAAAAGTCCTTAGGTGATTTTAGCTTGAAATAATCAATATGCTGGTTCAGCTATTTCGGAACCAAGGACAAAGGACAAATAACTACAAACCAGGAAGCATGGAGAGAAAAAAACAGAAAATACATAGCAATATCACAATAGCTATAGATTCCTGATTTAGAATTTCACGTAAGTGGAATTATTCCATATGTTCTCTTCGGTCTGACTTTTTTGACTTAACCCAATATTTATGAGGTTCATTATTACATAGGCTGACTCTGTACTGTGGTGGTTGAGCACTGTGCATTGGGAGTTGGACTCCATATGGCTGATCATGGTTTGAATCTGGATAAGTAATGAAGCACATTGGGTTGAAGTATGTGCATGCCTGTAATCCTGAGGGGATGGAGAAATGGAGGGAAAAGAATTATAGCATGAGCATGCCCCACTGTGGGGTATCTCCTCTCTCTCTCTCTCTCCCTCTCCCTGTCTTTCTTCCTGGCAGGTGCACAGGCCCTCTGCCAATACAAAAATAATGCAATTGCAATGTATTATCTGTCTTACATGGGCTTTTGCACAAACTATTTTCCCTGATTAAACTTGACTCTCATTTACTTTTGTATTATTTCTGTTTGTTCTTTAGGGCTTGGGTCACATCACACACCCTGAAGAGCCTGCTCTTATCTTACAAAGATTGAAAAGATTGAGTCTGACATCCTTCATTGTACTTGACTATCACCCTCTACTCAAATATAGCCTTTTACCACTTCTGTTTACTTCTCAATTTCTTCCCTTAGTTAAGGAATGCAGCTCCTTTATACTTTCATTCTCAGCACCTAGCACCATGTCTAACTCACATATTTATTAAATGAATTACCAATAAATTCATATTCTAGGACACCAAATGGCTTGCTCTCTAGATTTTTCTGTTTCCTTTACAATGCAGAACTAAATAGCTACCCTGATCTTTCTTTCTACCTTTATTCAAATTCATTTTTAAAATGGATTTTTAAAAATTTTTAGCTGGCATCAGCATTCAGAATTATTGTTTTAATTATTCTGTGTAATTTGTTGGATATTTAAAGATTTATTCTTATCAAACTTCCTGGAAAAGTATATTTTTGTCCAAAAATTTGGATGTAAAACTATTTGAGCACTGACTTGAAAATAATTTCTTTTGCTTATTCACATGCATGTACTATTATATTTGAAATTTAAAACAAAGTTACTGTGTTCATAAGTGCTATTCGTAACAGCTTCAATTTGGAAGTAGTCAAATTCTCAGGTGACAATAGAATTAATAAATTGTAGCTTATTCATTCACCCTAATACTAGGAAGCTATCAGAATGAATAATCTATCATGTAACAATATGAATGAATCTTTTTTTTTTGGAGAGATTTTTCGCTATAGGGCACGTGCGCTCGCCAGACAGACAGAGAGAGACAGAGACAGAAAGCGAGAAATCACCCCCCAGGGGGGATGGTCACACTGCAATCCCTTCTCCCCCATTCTCCTCTCGGAATCTTGGGCATGCATGCACACATGCCTGGCGTGAGTTTTAAGCCACCGGGTCTGGGACGCAAACAGCGGTCAACTACGTGGTAGTCCAGTGACATAGCCATTACGCTAACTGCTGGTTCCCACAATATGAATGAATCTTAATCTTAGTGTCAAATAAAAGGATTTTGACACAGAATGCATATTACATAGTTCTATTTGCATATAAATGTATTTACAAAAATGGAAAAAACTAATGCATGTTGCTAAAAATCGATACACTTATTACCCTTGATGTGTGTGTGCTTTATAGAGTTCAGTTAGTAGAAGAGGGTAGAAGGGTGGTTTCTGAGGTTCTCATATTTCTTGAGTTGGGTGATGGCTACAATATTGAGTTTGGTTAAAAGTTATCAAAGAATATATATACATATATATATATATACATATATATATTTAAAGAGTTATTTATCTAATTTTATTTATTATTATTATTTAATTTGACCAGAGAGAGACAGAGAGTGAGAAGGAAAGTGAGAAAGCAAGCTGCCAGGTCTGGGACTCGAACCACAGTTGGTCATGTGGGAGTCCCACATGGCCTAACCACTATGCCACCTGCCAGCCCCAAAGGATATATTTTTGAAGTGTGTATATGTATAATAAGAGCAAAATTTTAAAAGTATTAAAAAAAAAAACACCAAAAAACCTCACTGAATTAAAAAAGAAGTCTTTGGTTATAACCCAAAAGTATTCTACTATTTTAACTTAAATACTGGTCCTGAGCTATTGAGTGAAAAATAAAGAACAAAAAGCCAAAAAATATAGAACCTTATAATACTAAAACATCTTATGAACTATGTAGTTTCCAAATTCAAAATCAAAGTTATATCCAAAAGATGGTAGAATTTAATAATCATTAATTAATTAATTCAGAACTATTTCTTACTATACTTTCTATGCGTCTTCTAATTTAGAGAATTATAAGTAGCACATAAAAGTGTATATTTTTAACAATCAAAACAATGGATACTTTTTTTGTTTTCCATTTTCAGGTTTGACCTGCCACCAGTTATCTTGTTTTCCATGGATGGCTTTAGAGCTGAATATTTGGACACATGGAGTTCCTTACTACCCAATATTGATAAACTGAGTAAGTCTTCTACAGCTAGTGGCACACAAATGATGAAGATACATCGTTAAGTCCATCTCTAGATGATGCAACTTTCTGACCTTTCACCTTACTGATCTTTCTTAACCCAAGTCCTCTCTAGATCCTTAAAACTTTTCTATGACCTCTATCCTCAGTAGGGAGAGTATTCATATTTGCTCTTCTACCATTGCTCAGTAACATGCTCATCTTTTTTTTTTTTTTTTATTTTGATTTGTTTTTGAACTATGTAGTTTCCAAATTCAAAATCAAAGTTATATCCAAAAGATGGTAGAATTTAATAATCATTAATTAATTAATTCAGAACTATTTCTTACTATACTTTCTATGCGTCTTCTAATTTAGAGAATTATAAGTAGCACATAAAAGTGTATATTTTTAACAATCAAAACAATGGATACTTTTTTTGTTTTCCATTTTCAGGTTTGACCTGCCACCAGTTATCTTGTTTTCCATGGATGGCTTTAGAGCTGAATATTTGGACACATGGAGTTCCTTACTACCCAATATTGATAAACTGAGTAAGTCTTCTACAGCTAGTGGCACACAAATGATGAAGATACATCGTTAAGTCCATCTCTAGATGATGCAACTTTCTGACCTTTCACCTTACTGATCTTTCTTAACCCAAGTCCTCTCTAGATCCTTAAAACTTTTCTATGACCTCTATCCTCAGTAGGGAGAGTATTCATATTTGCTCTTCTACCATTGCTCAGTAACATGCTCATCTTTTTTTTTTTTTTTTTGATTTTGATTTGTTTTGTATTTGCATATAACTTTTGTTCTATGGAAATGTGTTCACGATATTGTTTCAGACATGGTGTTTGTCAGAACAAGGATCTGAGTCTTAGCAAGGTAGTCCTGAAGGAGCACAGGTAGATGGGATAGATCCAGCATCTATCTACAGTCTGCTAGGTGAAAAGTCCAGGATCTATTTCCAGTCCTGGCATCAAACTGCCAGGAGAGCTTGGACAGTATTACCGTACTTTTTGGTGATCCAATTTTATTTGTAAAATAATTACTTTCTACCAGATAGGATTATGGGGGAATGTACCCATCGCGTTCATTGGATGGTTTTTAATTTTTTTAATAAGGTTTTTGTTATAGGGCCCATGTGCTCGCCAGAGAAAGAGAGACAATGAGAAGGAAGGTGAGAAATCACCTTCAGAGGGGAATGGCCATGCCAACATCCCTTCTATTCCATTCTCCTCGTGGGATTTTGGGCATACACTCACACATTCCCAGAGTGATTTTCAAGTCACCAGGACTCAAACTGCAGTCAACCATGTGGGAGTCTAGCGCCTTAAATACTACACCACCTGCTGCTCCCTTAAGTTATTATTTTAATTGCCGTTTTTGATTGTTACCTTTATTATGATGTAATTCTGTGCTGAGCCACTTGGCCTTCACTCAGTTTGACAAATGTGATATACAGAGAAGTTGAGTACCCAAGGATTCTGAGCTAAGTGGCAGAACAGACTTAGAGGGCTAACTTCAGGGTCAAACTCCTTTCTATTGTCCTGCCATTCCTTTCTTATGTCTTCTTTCTCCCTCTTTTATCTCAAAAGTTCTCAAAGTTTATGACAGTTTTAGTGGCTTTTCATGTTTATTTTTCTCCAAAGGTTTAAAAAATAGCTGTTGGGTCCTGGTTAAGTTGATTGATTTTATGGCCTCAGATTCCTCATTTGTAAAACTAGAAGACAAGATCAAATGTTTTCCACTGTTTATTCAGTTAGAATATGCCATGATGGTGAAAAAAAAAAAATTAAAGTGCTTCTCCCTACAATACATGGTATATTATCTCTTCAGTTTCTACTCATTTCAAAGATCTTCAGCAAAGAAATGGACCTCTCAAATCTAAGACTTGTCAATTACTGCTGCATTTCTTTGGCCTGGAAAGTTAATTAACATTTCTTGATTTCTTTTCCTTATCTGAATTAAGCCTCATAATCAGGATATCAAGTTGTGTTCCCCAAAGGAAATTTAACTAGCCAGGCTAAACTGAACAAATTTCTTTTGAAGTAAAAGCATTTGATTTGCTTATTCCGTTGGAAATTGGAAACATCAATGAACTGTGTGGCCTTTAGACACTTTCTGCTTACTTAGTCATATAGATGATATCGCAGTCCTCAAATGTGTTTGAAGATTTTACTACCTATGTCTACCAAGCAAAGGGTGCCTGCTAGTTTCTAGAAGGCCCGAATAAAGATAGATGTGATGAAATGGGATTAAGATTAGTGTAGTCTTGAGATGAGATATGTGACAGCTATCTCCATAGTTAAAGTTCAGGGTCCCATTTCTAGTGTCTGGACAAGCTGCTTGAGTTCGGCTATTACCGTTGCGTAAACTGAGCATGAACTAATGCCACAGAGCAGTGAGTCATCCTGGTGATTACTAAATGCATGTGGATGTAGCTCTCAGAATCACTCTCTAGTGAGGTGAGGACATTGTCCTGTCTTAGCGTGGGTGGCCAGGGCCAACATTGGTGAGATAGAACTGGCTTGGCTTAAATTAGAGAACAGACTTCCTAGGAAGCTAGATAGAGAAACTGAAGATAAAACAAAGACCAGAAGTAGCAAGCAGAGAGCAAAAATCCAGCAACATATGTAGAATTTTGGAGCTCAGCGTTAGCACGGCTGACATTCATGAGCAGCAGAACTCTTAAATTCTCCTTAGCAGATGCCATTTGCTGCTGCCTTTTATATTATATATAATTATTTTATTTTTTGATAAGTATACTTAATGGGAGACCTACTCTTTCAAAAGATTTAAATAATCAATAGAGAATTGTTCTCTATAGGTATGATGCTGTATAGTAGATCTCTAGAAACTATTCATCTTGTATGACAGAAATTTTATAACCATTGATTAACAATTTCAAACTCCCCTCCCACACACAGCCAGCCCATGGTAACCATTCTATTGTCTATGCATGTGATTTTGACTATTTTAGGCACCTTATATCAGTAGATTTATGCCATATTGGTGACTGCCTTATTTTATGTAGTATAATGTCTTGAAGGTTCATCTGTGTTGTTGCATATTATAGGATTCACGTATTTTTTAAAAAGGCTGAATTAAAACTATACTTAAATTTCCAATTTGTAAAATCCATTCCTCTGTCTGTAGACATTGAGGAACCTCCCATATCTTGGCTGTTGTGAATAATGCTGCAATGATATGGGAGTGCTAATACCTCTTTAAAATTCTGTTCTTAATCCTTTTGGATAACACACCCAGAAGCAGGCTTGTTGGATTATAATCACTTTTATTTATTTATTTATTGGAGAGGTTTTCGCTATAGGGCGTGTGCACTCGCCAGACAGACAGAGACATAGAGACAGAAAGCAAGAAATCACCCCCCAGGGGGGATGATCACGCTGCAATCCCTTCTCCTCCGTTCTCGGGATCTTGGGCACGCACGCACACGTGCCTGGCGTGTTTAAACCACCAGGTCTGACATGCGAACCGCGGTCGACTACGTGGGAGTCCAGCGACATAGCCATTACGCTAACTGCTGGTCCCAGAATTCTTTATCTTGGGATCAGCAGGTGGTGTAGTAGTTAAGGCACTGGACTCTCACATAGCCAACCATGGTTCAATTGCTAATCTGGGTGGCTTAAAACTCACACCAGATGGACGTGCATGTATGCCCAAAATCCCTATGGGAGAATGGAAGAGAAGGAATTGCAATGTGGCCATTCCCCAGAGGGTGATTTCTTGCTTTTTTTCTCTCTGTTTCTGTCTCTTCAGTGAGCACGTGCCCTATGGCAAAAATCTCTCTAAAAATAAGAACAAAATAACAATAGCAAAAAACAAAAACAAAACAAAACAAAAACCCATACCCACAAGGATTCCTAGTATTTTGTATATTTGCATATTCCCTTGTTTATTTTCATTTACTTTCTACATTAGTGTCTTCATCATCTCTCTGCCTTTGTGGAGTGGCCTTATATGGGTGAAAACCACACTAATGAGCCTAGTCAGGAAATCTGGAGGCCCCTCCAACCTCCTTCTTTTGTTCCAAGGGGCCCCCAGATGTCTAAAGTATGCTGGTGGCCATCAGTCCTCTGAGATAAGTGAAACTGGAGCCAGTTCCTTGGGCAGTCTCCAGAGAAGTTGGGTCATTAGATGCTCTATCCCACTTTCTGTTTCTCTCCCCGAGGATAAGTTGGGCCCTGGGTTTTTGTGCCTATTTTCTCTGTGCTGAGCCAGGGGTAGGGGATAGGGTGACTGACAAGCTAGATCTTTGTTCTTGTTGGTCCCAAGGTGACAAGAGCATATTAGTGCTCCAAGACAGGCAAGACAGAAGCCAGTCCTTAGGCAGTACCTGGAACAGGTGGGGGCATCCGACA